AACCGCTGAAGCGTCGACCATTTCTGGCCGGCAACTTTCAGCATCATTAAGCCGCTGCCCCCTTGCAAGGTGATGTTGTCATGTAAATATGTCTTTAGCACCCAGTCCTGTAATATTTAGTTCAAGTGAAAGTCTATAAAATGTATGACGTCTGTATAAATATATAACATTTGTAAAGACAGTGAAGTGGCATACAACCTCTAAGCCTTTACCAAATGTTCCTGCGCTAGTTGAGATAAGGTGCTGCTTCAGTGCGGTTGTTTGTCTTTTAGTGGCTACTGAGCTCCCAGCAAAACTCCAAGTTCCAGGCAGGACTCCCACCAAGATAAGCTGCTCACCACAACCTGTGGTCTTGGTGGTTGAATACTAGTCCTCTTGCCTGCCTGTAATAGCTATAGTCGCCTCCGCTTCCCTGTCTAGAGGCTGCTTGCTTGTCATGTTTCCTGTTACACACACCTCCTCCTCCACCCTGCCTTAATGTTTGCTTTTCTCAGCTAAGATCCTGGGTGGAGTTGAGGCTGCTTATGGAAGTCAGCACATCCTTGAAAATGCCAGGGTGTAGCTCATTATCATAGGCAGCTGAAAAGCTGGCCTGGATGCTTGTGAGTAGTCAAGGAAACAAGGAGAATGGGGTGAGAAGTGTTTCTCCCGGTTGCAGTTTAGCTTTCCAAAGCACAAGCAGCAACTCCAACTTCACTCCCTCACGTTCTCCGCTTATGACCTCCCCAGAATGGTCCACAGGACTGGAGGCTTTTGTAGATACGATGAAAGTGGTGTTGCAGTGCTGCAATGGAAACCCTGCCACTTCTGCATGCCTTGTGATGCCAGACACACATAAGAAAGGGGCAGAGCTTGCACTGCACTGTTGTGATGCTGCTGTCATCATCTGGATGAAAGCCTCTGGTCCTATGGATGACTCTGCATGTCCCTCACTGTTCCGTCTTCCCCTCTCGACATACCGTCTGTTTTCATACGTGGTATTCAGTCCTGGTTTGTTAAATCAGCCTACTCGGGTTAATGTATTATACTGAGTTGCAAACCCCAAAGTGGCTGGGGCAACACCACACACTAAGTCAAAGACATGCACGTGCAGCTCTGCATTTAGCAATGCCATTCATGAAACAGCCTCACCTTTTGCTGAAAAAGGTTAAGCATTAATGCTGGATTTATAAGACATAATTATGGAAGGCAATTTAGACAGAATGGAAGCTCAGTCTTCTCCAGTTTGCTGCCGTCCAGATGAAAGGGACTTCAACTGCCATAATTACCAACCAGTGTGCTGTTCAAGTTATTTGTGTATTTCATCTAGTATGCAAAGGGAAAAGTGGAAAAAGACAAAAATGTACAACTCTCTTATGCCAATCAAAACTACGCAGACATTATATAGTCAAATTATTAACACTGAAATCAGTTAGTTAACAATGGAGAAATGGGAAATTAAAATTTATAAATTAGTGGGGGGGGGGAGGTTTCCCTGCACTCAATCATGACCGATTCTGCAGCGACTGCCTGGACAAGTCCCTGCAGTTTTCATTGTTCAGTTATACAAATACATATCTGTTTTTTTATGTATAATTTTATTAAATAGTTTTAAAAAGAAAATACAAACTAATATAAAGGAAAAAAAGAAAAAGAAAAAGAAATCAGAGAGAAAGCTAAAAGTGCAAGAAAAGAAAAAAGTAAAGAAAAAATAGAAAAGAAAAAAAAGTAGTAGCTTCCAATTTTCTTTACAACAGTTGTAGTAAGTACAGTTGTAAGTTTACCTTTTACTTTATGATTACAACATACCTCTCTTCTTTCTATAGTCTATCCTGTCTAATCATCAAAACCATAAATCATAAGTTCATTTTTTTTTGTTTCATGCAAAAATTCAGTAAGGGGTTTCCAGTCAGCAATAAACTTCTCTGATCAAAAAAGTCAATTTAGCCATCTCAGCAAGTTCCATCATCTTCACCAACCATTCCTCCATGGTTGGGTAATGCCAAATATTTCCATCTTTGTGCATACAATAATCTTGTTCCAGTTATCATGTACAGAAACAAAGTTCCATGACTTTTTTCCAATTGTTTGTCCATCAGTCCCAAAAGAAAAACCTCTGGTCTCAATTGCATATTAATCTCAGCAGCTCAGTAGACTCAAGGGTCCCTTGAAATTAGGAAGCAACATGCTATTCAGTTGCCCTATTTTTTTTTTTTTAAGATGTACAGTACATATGATTGTATTTACATTGATTGCTATGAGATCCAGGACCCCATAATGCTGCCTGGTGTAGAAGCCTGCCTATACACCTGTTTGTGGGAAAGCTTGCCTCCTTCACACAATGCTGATGAGGCAGGGCTTCTCCAGACTGCTCACGTGGTGAGTACTTCGGGTAGAAAATGTCCAAATGGGGCTCATGAAATGAAACTAAATATTGGAATAGTGAAATGTACTAACATGCTATTTCAAGGTGCACTAGAACTAGTAGTTTCCTTCATTTTCCAACTGCATTAATAAAACTCATGAACAATCTTAGCCACAAATTCCTCTGGATGGAGCAATCAATATCATTTTTTTGCATAGTCATTGCCCAGAAAGAATCCTGAAAGAAGCTGCGGAGAACCGAAAGCAGAGAACAGCATCTCTGCTGTGTCATTTGATAGGGGACTGTCATTGAAGTGGTTCTTCTTCACAGGATAGAACAGCAGCATTTGGCGGGATAATCTTTGCAGTATACCTTATTCTCATTGCCAAAGACATAGAAGGAATAGGGTTTGCCTTTCCATTCATATTCAACTTTTGTGAGTGGCACCACCTCGACTGTTTGTTTCTGCAAAAGGAAAGAGAAACACCATTACATTTCTGAGATCATTTATATCCTCTGTTAATGTGAAATCCACCATTTAGGACTAGACACAAGATTGGCAATTAAGACTAGCTTAGGTGGCCTACACAAAAGAAAGGGCCTTCCCATCAGGGGCCTGAAAGCTATGGAATTCCTTTCCAAGTGCTTCCATCTTTTCCATCCAGCGCAGGCACTCAGGTGAGTCTCTTCAATGTTCCTCTTAACAGAAAATCAGAATAGTTATGTGGATATGATAGCAGTTTGTAACTTGTTCCCTTGGAACGTCACCTTGGAAGGACATTATTTTAGTCCTTTAACAATCTTTAGGTCAGACCACTAGCATCCGTGAACTGAGGAATTCAAAGAACATTTGGGAATTGACCTAAAATGCTTAGAATACTTTGAAATTTAAAAAAACAAAAAAATAGACAGTAAAGCAGTATTTCTCAAACTTGGTAGCTTGAAGATGTGTGGACTTTAACCCCCAGCCTTGCTGTCTGGGGAATTCTGGGATTTAAAGTCCATACGTCTTCAAGTTGCCAAGGTTGAGAAACACTGCAGTAAAGTATTAACCCGGACTATGAGCACTGGGCTCCACAAATACTTCCTTTCCCTTAGGAAAGACACACAAAAAAATTGAAATCTGCTATACCTGGTGGGGAATGACTCATTTCATTCCCTCAGCATCCTATATTTTCAAAATAGCCAGGTTGGGGGGGGGGGAGGGGAGGGAACCAATGATTTGCAAGCTCCACATAACCCTGCAGCGCCATTTTTATGCCCCTCCACCACCCCAAGACCATGCTTTCAAAATCTGGTGACAAAATGGCATCATTCATCACTATTAATTTGCTGAAATGTGATTCAAATTAAGGATGGGGATAGGAAGAGGAGGCCAATCCCTACAAACAGGTCATTTTGTAGCCCATTTTTTAAAAGATGTTTTTTAAAGGTGACAAATAGACTGGAAAGCCTCAGGCTTTTTCTTAGAGGTTCTCCAAAAGGTATCTGCAAGAGGTATCCCACCTCATCCCACCTTGACCCCCCCACTCCTCTAAAATGTAGGCTGAAATCATTCCCATATTATGAGGCAGCTTTTTACAGGCCTGTGGAAAGAAGGGAGGCAGAGGTACAACCCCTAGTTCCTAGATTGAAAAACCTGGGGAACAGTCCTACAACCCCCACTTTCAATTCCATGTTGCGGAGATCAGTTATAACAATTCCCTGACCAGGCAAACTCTGCCACTGTTCATGGGTGTAAGTATTACAAATTTAGCATCATTGTCAATCTGTAATCTTTGCAACATACATCACTTGAAGTATATCTCAGAAAAACATGTTGTGGGGAAACTCTAGTTTCTTTTGTTTATTAATTCTCACCGGTCCCCTCCTTTCCTTTCTGCTTGTTGTTCAATAAAGGCAAAAATAAAAAAAGAACAGTTCTCTGTTTCCATATATGATTCACAAGCATGTAACTTAACTCCACTAAAAAAAAAAAATCTTTGGAGCAAGTGTGCCTCATTTTTTGTTTTTTTTTGAGAATGTGTTTATATCAGATCAAATGCCTCTATAATACAAAAGCAATCTAGATATTGATGTAATTACTTAGAAAAAAGAACAGCATGCCATTATTTTAGTCCTTTAACATATTTAGATCAGACCACTAGAATCTGTGAACTGAGGAATTCAAAGAACATTTGGGAATTGACATGATGGGATACTTTCAGGAGAACAACATGAAAATCCAGGTTAACTAGTGGATTGTACCTTTTAAGTGTTGTATTTTATATCTGTTATGATTATTGTGAACAGGCAAACATATTTATAACTTCATTTTCTTATTTTGATTTACTTTATCCCAGTTTCAGGTGAACACATTAAGTACTCCTTCCTCTTAGTTCTGCATCTTAGTTCTAGTTACACTTCTTTGACCTTTGCCTCCTTGTACCGAAAGTGGAACATAGCACTGGTATAGTATAGCAGAAATCCTCTTACCAAAATTGAATCTGACCATCCTGTCATTCAGAGAGGGCCGGCTGCAGTCCCCCACCCTCCTCACAAGATGCATGGGGCAACATGAACAAGAGCCAGGTGACAGGCCTTCTCAGTAGTGGCCTCATTGATTTTTATTATTTATTTTAATGAAGATTTTTCGTTACTTCGTTATACCCTGCCCAGAGTCTGATAAGATTGAGATGAGCTATAAATATTGTGTGGGTGTGGGAGTGGGTGTATAAAATTGCTATTCAAGATGTATATAGTATCATCTGTGAGATGACCATCTCTGTTAAGTTCTAAAGGTTCAGCATAGAAAGCAATGCAGTATAGCAGCAGCCACTGATTAGATTTATATCAGAAACCAACTTACAGTGGAACCTCGGTTTATGAACTTAATTCGTTCCGTGACTCTGGTCGCACCCCGAATTGGTCGCAACCCAAAGGAAATTTCCCCA